AAAAACGAGAAGTCTGTTATAAAGACCCTATTCTAAAACCCCGTTTTTTCCTCTTTTCCTTTGTAAATAAAATACTGCTATAGAGCGCAATCAGACAAACACACGAGTCGGTTATAGCGGAATATTGATGCTGCTGTGCGCAGTGCATGGGCCAATTATACATAATGTAAAACCTCGCCAGTTGACAAACTAGTAGGTGATCTAGCGAAACAAAGAATGGGGGAGCCCATTGCGTATCAACAATGAAGTATTGAAGGCCAGAGCGACTGAGTAGGGAGGGTGTGGCATGCACAGACAAACAGAATGCATCGCAGGATAGGCTAGCGTATGCCAAGTTTAGATTATCAAGGCCTACCATGCCTCTCACTTCTCCGATGCAGGGATGGAGAGGTCACAGCAATGTGATGGATGGAGTGAATGTGTGACGTGCGCAAGCTGACGGAATGCACCACAGGGTGTGGTGGGGTAGGGGGAAAACACAGCGGGTGAGTTAGCCCAGAGCCATTTCTTTCTGATCGCCAACGCCGAGCTGTCAGTCAACATCGTTAGATCTAGCGCTAGAGAAAGAAACCTGATTCGATTTTTGATCAAGTAAGACCCAGAGGTCATGTTGAAACAAAATCATCATCAGGGGAGACAGCAAAAGGAAATAAACAGAATACCAAACCCATAGACTAGGCCTACTTTACAGTTTCCCTTGAATTTATTACTGGATCCCTTATAGCGAGAATCCTGCTATAGCGGACATTTTGCTCCGGTCCCCTCCCTCTCGTTATAACAGGATTCCACTGTATTTAAAGCTGTACAGAAAAAGAAGTTTAGACATGGTCGCAATCTTAGCAGAACTTTTGCAGAATTTGGTCATTTTGGGGGTAAAATTCTGCGCAAAATTTTGAAATTTTCCATGCAGAAAACTACGATGTCAGTCTGGTCCCACCATCCCTGTTATATCAGGTTTCCACTGTTATTATTATAATAAATGTTTCTATCTTAGCACCAAAACAGGTAAGAATGCCAATACACACGAAACATTAGAACGGAAACATCTTTCAATACTCTCATGGAAGTGAAAAAGAATCAACAAACAAAAATGCAACATTTTTTTACACAAAAACAATCTTGAAGTCCTTCTTCAGGACAGTCAATGTGGTCAATACATTCAAATCTTAAAAAACAAAAACAACTATAACATGATACTTCATTCATCATTCCAACAAAGCAATTAGAACATTTTGAAATTCAACTTTTCAAGTTTCTTGACCCAAATTAGTTCAGATTTTATTCTTCATTTAGCTAACCTCTGTCAGTATTTGACCAATTCCTTGGGGAAAAAAAACTATATTGAAATATGTTGACTTTTAGATACCCGGATAAAAACAAAAAGGAAATAATAAGCCACTATATTTGATCAAACCTTACTAAAAAACCCCCACAATTTATAGTAAACAGCCAGGTTTTGCCAATTCAAGAAACACCTTACAAATACTGTATTTGCCATCCCACCTCACCACTCACAACTTGTAGATTTCAAGCAGATTGCATTTGACAAAGCCTGTGATCTGGCAGTAACATGTAATTTTCAATAAATGTATACCAGAACACACACACAAATGAACATTGAAAAAAAAAATTAGTCTTTAAATCAAAATGATCTTTTGCATTATAACAAAGTTCAAAAAAAATTTCAACTCACAGAACCTCTGACAATTACAATCCAATCTCTAAAAACACTGGTTTAATGGTAAAATAGAGAAAATTTTAGATAATAAGAAAAAAAAAAGCATTCTTCAATATTAATAACCACCCATACCCTTCTAAACGGTCAAAGACCAAAATGTGTTAAAGTTGAAAACTGTGTAAAGCAGAAGCAGTAATGAAACTATGAAAATACAATCAAACATAAGCAACCTCAACACTTACCCTAACTTACACATCACAGAAAGTTAAGAATTTAAACGTACAGTTGAGCACAGTTATCTCAAAACACATTGGGGATTGGACACATTACAAATAATATCTGTTCCAAACATCCATAGTTGGTAAGCGGATAAAAAAAAAAAGCTTCTATCCCTTATTTTGAGTTTGTTATGTGCCAGACAGTAGAAAGGCCAAATTTTACGCAAGACACTTTGGAACTACACTCTCTTGGAAGAAATAAAATAAAACATTGCCAACTATAGAGACAGATGATAAAGGGGAAAAGGACATCCTGATACTCTTTTCACATTGTACATTGTATATTAACAGTGCTATGAGTTTTAGCATGATGAATTATGAGTAAATTTTATGCTGTATATTTGGTAGTCAACTAAAAAATTAATGTAAGTGTATTAAAACTCAATAAAAGCTAAAAACTTTTTATAAAAATGGGATGAAAATACACAGGTGTAGCCAGTGGCACAAAACAAAGCGATAAAAAAAATTAACCAAAAAAAATCTGCCCTGAGCGCAGCAACAATAGTTTGTTGGGGACTCTGACGTTCATTGTGTGATAATGTTACAGTAACAAACAAAAAAGTTAATATAATAATGCAGCAGCAACTATCACTAACTACGTTTTTATGTATTATAATGACATGTGATATATTCAACTAATGAAGAAATACAGTATAAGTATAACTATAACACGGATAGCTCGAATTCGTCAGGACCTGCTTCAGTTGTCCAAGGGATACACCTGACCTTACAAAGATTCAAAGGAAAAAAAAAACAGACCCCAGTCACAGTTCGACGAATATGTGATTACATATGCGTGTTATAATATTGTGCATGAAAAACAGATCATGTAGTCCATGCCGGCTTTAAGCATGGTCATCGGGAGAAAGCATAAGCGTGCTTAATGTCGAAGCGTGCTTAGTGCGAAGTCGACATTGTCATAGAAAATTTCCTGAGTTCGAAAGTAGTGGACACGTAAAAGTGTGCGCTGTCATTTTTATCTGCCAAGGTAGTTTTTGTTCGTTTGTTTTGTGGTCGAATGGGAAAGGAAAACTTAATTTAGATGGCAAGTCACGATGCAGCACCCTTGGCCTACACACTGCCTGTGCGTACCACATTCATACCACCGCCTTAAAATTCATCCCACCTCATGATACATATCAAGATTATTGGATAGCGAGGGGCAAAGATGAAATCGCAGCCAGCTTCCCTTTCTCGTCTCCTCGACTCAGTATTTCTTTAGTCTGTGTGAAGCTTTGCCATAGGCTAGATACCATATCCATGCGCACGGCTATGTGCATCTCTCTGCCTGCCTCTCCATGCGTGTGTATATGTGTGTCTCCATCACTTGTGTTCTTTGTGTTTCTCTTTTACACACTAACTGCTGCAGTGTAGACTATTCGAACTTTGATGGGTCATCATGAAAATATAGACTGTCTAATAATACATGAAGCGTGTCTGAAACCAAAGCTACTGTGCTTAAAGGCGTGTAATTTATAGATAATAGCAAAAATTCGGTAAGAGCCGTTTAGCGTGCTTGAGTCCAAAACGTGTTTCATGCCGGCACAGACTGTATTAAAAATTAGAGATGGAGGTTAAACAGTACAAAAACTTTTAAATTTTTTAACCAAAGAATGTGAAAGTACCGTATTATATTAAATAATGCTTTATCCATTCACTGCCCCCTATGAATACTATGAAGATCCTAAAATGATTCATTTTTAGTTTCGCATTCTACCCTTTTCCCCTCACCATGGATGTCACAGACGTTAGCAAAATTTGCCAATTCTGGTGGCCTACAAAACATTACATGCAGGTTACGTCCTATCTCTCGGTGAATTTGGAGCAAAATTCAAAACTTTTTGCAATAATTTCATTTCCCTGTGAAGTACACCTTCCCTCTGAAATTCTGCATGAAAGAAAACCCTTGCCCCCC